TTTGAATCCAGACAGCATGCTGGTTGAAAATTTAACACATGTATGTAAGAGAAAAACTAATAAAATCCTTATAAAAAAAGAGTCTTTATCTAAGAATTTCAGGGAAACCCTATCATGATTAATGTGGCTTTCAGTTTGAAATTGTCACTTGTTTTCCCCCCATTTTATACTGGAACCCAAAGAAGACTGACAGATCAGTGAGGTGAGAATGCTGCTGTTTTGTTTGCATGTCTATTATCTGTTGGTTCTCCCTGCCTTAATTCTCTCTTTTGTACTTCAAATCTGCTGGTTTAGAACTTTTTGCTTCTCTCTGGTCAAATCTAAGAGTAATAATAATAATAATAATAATAATAATAATAATAATAATAATAATAATAATAATAATAATAAAAAATAATAATAATAATAATAATAATAATAATAATAATAATAATAATAATAATAATAATAATAATAATAATAATAATAATAATAATAAAGTTGGAAGGGACCTTGGAAGTCATCGAGTCCAACCCCCTGCTCAGGTAGGAAACCCTATACCATTTCGGACAAATGGCTGTCCAGTCTCTTCTTAAAAACCTCCAGTGTTGGAGCATTCACCGCTTCTGGAGGCAGGTTGTTCCACTGGTTAATTGTTCTAACTGTCAGGAAGTTTCTCCTTAGTTCTAGGTTGCTTCTCTCCTTGCTTAGTTTCCATCCATTGCTTCTTGTCCTGCCTTCAGGGGCTTTGGAGAATAGCTTGACTCCCTCTTCTTTGTGGCAGCCCCTGAGATATTGGAACACTGCTATCATGTCCCCCCTCTTCCTTCTCTTCATTAAACTAGACCAGTGGTTCTCAACATTTTTAATGCTGCGACCCCAACCGGTCGTAAGTCGAGGACTACCCAAGCAGTCATAAGTCAAGGAATTTCCCTGCCCGGGAGCGCCGCGCATGCGTGGTTCCGCCCCCTGCGCCAGCCGAGGCGTAGCTGGCAAGCGGCAGAGACGGAGCAGGCCGACCACCAGCTGGCCCAGCCCAAGGGAGGTAAGGCACCCGCCGGAAAAGGGGAAAAAATGGCGGGGGAAAAAAATGGACAAAAAAATGGCGGACAGCCTTGCTTAGCGACCCCCATGAAATGGTCGATCGACCCCAAATGAGGTCCCGACCCACAGGTTGAGAACCACTGAACTAGACATACCCAATTCCAGCAATCGTTCCTTATATGCTTTAGCCTCCAGTCCCCTAATCATCTTTGTTGCTCTTCTCTGTACTCTTTCTAGAGTGTCAACATCTTTTTTACATCGCGGTGACCAAAACTGGATGCAGTATTCCAAGTGTGGCCTTACCAAGGCCTTGTAAAGTGGTATTAACACTTCATGTGATCTTGATTCTATCCCTCTGTTAATGCAGCCTAGCACTGTGTTGGCCTTTTTGGCAGCTGCAGCACACGGCTGGCTCATATTTAAGTGGATTGTCCACTAGGATTCCGAGGTCCCTCTCACAATTACTACTATTGAGCAAGGTACCCACTATATTATACCTGGATCTCTTCTTTCTCTGACTGGTCTCTGAGGATCAGGAAGGATGCCTGTGAGTACCTGCCAATCTTATCAAAAATTATAAAAATAATGAAAAATATTTTTATGTCTTGACTGGATCCCTGGATCCTGGAAGATCTATGTTTGAAGTCTCCTCTACCTGTATGATTAGAAATAGTCCTATCTGGACAAGCATCACATTGGTAGCAGCAAACCGGCTTGCCCTCTGGAACTCTTTTCCTTTCTCCTGCCTGGCACCTCTTCATGCCACACCTGGCAAAGGGGATCTTCTGAAATAGAAAAGAGAAATACTTGAGATGAACATGCTTCATGAATTCCTTTTACCACTCCTATTCCTATGTGCAGAATGTTATCAAATGAAATGGTTCAACCCTCTCTACCAGAAACCAGGAGCAGCTCCTGGGGATTCAGACCAGTGGCACTGCCAATTCACCAGTGGATGCTGGAGATTGAAACTGGGACCTTGTAGATCTGGAGGAAGAAATAGTGAACGGGCCAATGATCGCATGGGTGAGAAATGTGGGCCGAAATATAAATCTGGAAGAATGGGAAAGGCTATGGAACATAAATTGCAAACTGACACTGTCAACTGCATATAGGGAAAATCAATACAAAATGTTCTATAGATGGCATTTAACACCAGCGAGATTGGCCAAAATGTATAAAAATATGAATCCGGAATGCTGGAAATGTAAAAATAAGGAAGGAACATTCTATCACATGTGGTGGCTGTGCCCTAAAGCAAAGAGCTATTGGGAACGGATAGGAACTGGATACAGGAGATAACTAAGGTGCAAATTGAATTCAAACCTGAACTATTTCTTCTGGGTATAATAAATTTAAAGATCAAAAAGCAACTCTAGCACATCATTATACATATATTGACAGCAGCCCGTATAGTATATGCTCAGTGTTGGAAGGGTGAAAACATACCTACAAACGATATGATTACTGTATATATAAAATTCTTGAATGTGCGGAGATGAATAAACTTACGCTAGAATTAAAAGACAAGGAGGCAACAGAATTTTATGAAATATGGAACAAATGTTATGATTGGCTAGAACAAAGAAAGAAAAAGACATGATTACTGATGTAAATAAATTGTAAATAATATACATGACATGTATAACACAGTTTTGTTAAGGGAAAAATGTATTTTTTCAGTTTTATTTTTATTGTATAATGGAAAAAAGGAAAAATAAAAACTAAAAAAAAAAGAAACTGGGACCTTGACCTGCAAAAGAAGACTTGTGACATTAAGCTATAACATTTCTCAAACAAAGAGTCCTGAGGATGTCATTGCTGCATCTTCTAACTGCATCCTGAGTTTGAAGCAGTAGTTCTTCCTAATCCGAACATTTATGGATTGACACAATGTGCCGCATGCAAAGCAGGTTTTTCACCAAATCGCTGCCATATTTTCTGACTCAACTGAGCATTTTTCAAGTTTTCTACATCTGCAGGGAAGAATGAATCTGTCTTTGAACTTACAATATTTTCTTTCAGCTCACCTTAGTAGCCCAGACAATGACATCAGAGTTAATGGTGAAATCATGGCCAGGGGGAGCCCCGGGATCTATTCTCCCAACTTTCGTGGGGACAAAAGATTGATTGGGGAGGAAAACCCAGTTGAGAAGATCAAAACGAGGAGAACCAAGGCCACTTTCTGAGAATGAGACTTCATCTCCAGCACTGTTGTTAAATTTTACTTCCTTTAAATAGTGAAGAATCTGAAAGAAAATAGACCTCTGGAAATTGAACAATTTGGCTGAAAGACACATATATGGTTTCAATAATTCTTTCTTAGCCGTCATCTTATGACTTGGATGCAGGTCTGCAAAACTAGAGGAGTTCCATTGGTGGAGATCTGGCCAATCAGGAGTAGCAACAAAAAAATTAACTCCTTCCCCAGCACTATAAAAGTTTCTCTTTATCACTGGGCATTTTATCATGGCTTCTTCAACTCTACTTTTACCAGAATGATCCTACATATAAGTATTATAATTCCACACTCTCTATTTCATAGCAGGCTTTGGCTCCCGTAATACTTGGCCGTATGCATTTTTAAATGTTGTCTTTGGCTCCAGGTCTTGTAAATGACAAATGTATTTTAGGAATGATGAAATAATTTCTATCACAAATTCCACCGACCTTCTCTAGCTCATAGTCAAAGACTGTCAAAGAAGAATGCAGGAACCAACTCTGCCCACATGTGACCTTGTGGAAGGAAGCACCTTTCTCGGTTTGTCACTTCTCTGTGCAGAGAAGTCCAACAACAGCCAAGCCTGATCCCATCCCTTTCGGCCCCCCACCTCTGGTGATTACAGAAAATAATGTGCAAGGTCTATTTCACAGACAAAAGCCTGGAAAAGCACCAGATCCAGACAAGATAACTCCTTCTTGCTTGAAAACTTCTGCTGACCTACTAGCACCCATATCTTTCATAAATCACTAGAGATGTGCCAATAAAGAATTCTATTCAATTCTATTTAGCTTTTGAGGCACAAAAGTCTATTGAATATCATATCAGGACCCCATTAGGACCATGTGAGTCCTGCTGTGTGTGCTGAGGTTGACAAGTGACTGTTTTCATACAATCACCTGAGTGGTGCAAAAATGGGAGTGGGGTGACAAAGGATGCTAAGCCATAGAAACACAAACCAAGGGTAAAATTAATTGTCATTTTATCAATTGGATACAGGCCACATACCAAAGGAAATTGAGGTGGTTGAGCATATAAGGGATCTCAACTGACGCTTGAACATTTAAAACCGGGAACTATTTGGCCCTATGTGGAGAAAAGAGAGAGACTGATTAAGGAATTGTTCATTTCAATCTTGTGATTGTGATAGATGTGGAAGCCAAGGGTGATGTTGGGGAAGAGAATCAAATCCTAGTTGACCTCTGTGACTGCAAACATCAAGGCCAGGAATTGCTGAGAACTATTATATGTGGAACTATAGTAAGAAAAAAATTACTGTGTGCTGTGTGTGGTGGCAGAGTTTGACTTGCTTTGGGAGGAGGAGGGGGTTTGGAGGAGCAACTCCCATCTTTCATTGGGGTTTGATTTAGTAGGACTTTAATTGACCTCTTGAATATCTTCAACAACCATACCCAGATTGTTACTTTGCTCTGCGTTGACATGTCCTCTCTGGAATGGTCACTCCTTGAAACTCAAGAAACCTCTGAAGATATATCTAGATTTTACAAGAAGGTATTTCCTCTATGGATCTTATAGAAAACTGGTTTGGTTTACTTCTCTTTTCTTCCCTCTATCTTTTCTCATCCAAACATTATATTTAACTCATATTAAATTTTTTCAATAATTGCTGATTTAATTTATAATGCTATGTATTCATATGGTAGCATATGGACATTTAATCATCAATTCTAAAAATTCATATGGGGAGTTTCCTTTCTAAGAATCTATAGATTGGATAAAAAGTCCTGAAAATTACCTGCCATGACTGGACATTTGAGATCCTCTTTCCAAGCCTCATCATGGTTGGTCGGGCTCTGGATCCAAACATTGCATGTAATGCGTGTCCCAGAGCATGAATGGCATTGTAGATGTTGTAACTTTCACCTGTCATGCTTGTTTCAAAAATGTAATTTGGCAGATTCTGTAAATTCTCCTTTCCTCCACATTGTTTTTTCCCCTTTTGAGGGATTCTGCCTGGTTGGTGAATCTTGCAGTCAAAGACCATTCCCCACCATAGAGGGAGAAATAAATCCCCTTGTGGGTTATAAGGGTCTAAAGACAGCAGGAAATGGCTGAATTCCAAGGCATCACCAGTATGGTCCCTAAAATGCAGAGACCCATGGAAGGGTTTTATACACATTGATACGCTTCGCAATCCCATCACACTTACTTTCCAATGGGAAGTTAAGATCCAAACTTTGCAAAATGATGTCTTTGTATTTCTTTCATGAGCATCCATTGACAACACTATATCTGTAACACTACGGGAGTCTCCAAAGAGAACAATCACCTCAGCTTTGGACCAGGTTTTGAAAGTATGAAGTAATTCCAACCATGTACTAGTAAGAATATTGTATTTGTACATTGCAGTGAAGGCCAGGCAGATCTCCTTCTCCTTGAGCATTGGTGTCAGAGTTGAGATGAAACGTTCTCCATTGTCACTTTGTGGGGCCAGAAGCCCAACCCAATTCCACTGGAAATCCAGGAGCAGCTGGACTAAGCCCACATACTGAGAAAATTCATTGGGATTAATCCGGAAAAAGGAAGGATAAACTGTTCTGCCTCCAAGAGAGAACTCAAAGCCAACACCCAGCTGGAGGAAATGAGAATCTTTTTTAAAAGGTAAAGTAAAGATTAATGTTGCCTTTTTGGGTCACAATTGTGTGTTTTGTTGTCCCTCCAATAAGGCAAGTTTAACCTCCTTCCATTCTTAGGAAGAGCCACCAGTTACATATTTTGTCTGGTTGTGACAAGTGAGAAGCTGATGGAACAAACCATCAAACCATCATACAGAAAATAATGTGCACCAAAAGGTGGATACATTTTTTGGGAAGAATACAATAGGAAAGAATTCCTCTTGGGTCATAGAGAACTTCAGAATGATCTCATCAACTTTCTCTTTCGGGTTATATAAAAACATATCTTGACGCATAAAATACAGCATGCCATTCACTAAATCAGGTTCTCTTGCTATGTCTCCCCAAATACATTTGATTTTATCGTTGGCTTCTATGTGTGTTTATGTTGTTTGTCTAGTCCATATTTGGAGGGACCCCCTTACCTGTGGGACCTTGAAGATGCTGAAGATGGAGGCCATCAACCTTGAAGATTTGGAGTTGAGACCTCCAATGACAGAGAGCAGAGTGTCTCGCCTGTTACATTTATAACCTGGAACCACTTGGCCTCGTTTGGAGAGCAGGGAGAGGCTGAGTAAAGAAATCCTCCTCTCAATCCTGCGATTGTCATAGATGTGGAAGCCAAGGGTGATGTTGGGAAGGAGAACCAGGTCCTTGTTGACCTCTCTGACTGCAAACACCAAGGCCAGGAATTGCTGGTAGTTCTTGGACATGAGTCTGTAGTGAGAAAAGCATTGAAGGACATTACAGGTGGAGGTTGCTTTGCTTGGAAGGATGGAGGAGGATTCCCCTGTTTCATTGGGTTTGAGTTTTTTAAAGAGTTAAAATTGGATGACTTTGTGAGAAGGGACAAAAGCCTGTCTGTCCATATTCGATATCATTTTATACTCTTCTGTTGTCCCTCCCTCCTTCACTTTGCTCTAATGGCTGTAATTCTTCCAGTTGCTGCTCTAATCAATTTGGATTTCTCTTGGAGAAGTTTCTTCAGGTATGGACAGCTTTGCTCAATAAAGGGATCCAATGAAGCAGAGACTTAGTGAAGGCTTTTTATTCATGACCACTGCTGATTCAAAAAGTGAATTTTGTTTTATTTTGTTTCCACAGAATCCCACACAGACTGAGCTGTTCTTTGAGTTTTCTGTGCCACAAATGTCTATCCAAATCGACATTATAAGTCAACTTCTTTACTAGACCAGCATAGTTTCTGTTGAGTTAGACTTCCTCATTTTTTATGTTGTTTATCATTTCATAATGAAGTATTTTAGAAAGATTAAGAATTCTAGCTTATTCTATGGCTTTGGTTCTTTATTGAAAAAGGGACAAAGGTTTGAACTACACTAGGGCATTGCAAACATCATGAGGACCACTACTTCTAAAAGCAATCCCTGAATCCAAAAGAAAGGAAAGAGTTATCTACATAACTTACATAGTTGGTAAATGATCCTGGGATGGGTCTATAATAAAGTCTACACCTACGGAATAAACAGAGGTTTCCAGGGGCAGGTTCCCACCAATAATGAGATCACCAGGCCTGTAATAATCCTCCATAATATACAAAGACCTTCTCAACAAACATACGGTTTTCATCCTCTTTGCAGAAGTTGGAGGCAGGAGCCAAAAGAGCAGCAGCAGCTGGAGGAGAGGCAGTCCAGTCATTCTTCTCATCTTCCTTCCAAGATCAGAGATCAAGGTTTCTGCAGAAGCTATACTTCAGGTAGCACTTGAAATTTCACCTTTAGCACAATAGAGACAGTCCAACCTACCTGGATGGCTTTGTGGCAAATTGATATCAACCATCCTTCCCCTTATATGTGTCTGAGCTTTGACCAAAGAGGAAACTAAAGCCAGCTGAGTCTCATCAAATCCAGAAGTAGACTCTTTGCAAGACAAGATAAGGTGACATGACATGCCACCAATGGGAGAATTTAGAGCAAGTTTTATCTTGGAAGATTTTTCTGAGTAGAAATCCACAGGGGATACCTACAAATTACTGTTCTTGTGATAATTGCAAGGAACAGCAGTTGCCCTGTCCATTTAGTACTAGATTTTTTTGTGTATGCATCAGAAGGGGAAAAACATGATTATTTCTCCAGCTGCTAATCTAGAGAGCAGATGGATTTCAGAGTCAAGGTGAAGTTGGGTATTTGGCCTACATGAAATTGAGCACTTGCAACAAGATGGAGTTTGATTTGTGCAATGGCTTGTTCCAATACCAATGAGTGCTAATGGGCCATGGTGGCACATGACAATCAGTTGCAACTGTGGGAAGTTAACCCAGAGAAGGAAATATTAAAAAGGCAGGAAAAAAATATTGTTCACCAAAAGGATTTTTAAAAGCATTTTTTTGAAAAGCAGAAACCAAACCTGGCCTCATCTCCTTGCCCAGGGCAGTAGCTGGTCTTATACATATGCAGATGTGGAACCATCAGAAAGTTGAAGCCAGAGCCATCAAGAAGA